CTTCTATACAACGACAGGAGACTGCGACCATACAAAAGGCCACACCATCTTGGTCTTCATACCTACAATTGTTCTACTATTTCTAACCAATAATTGAGTAAATAAAGGGATGTATCAGCATGATCATCAGTCATTCAGAGGCATCAGTGGCCAGCATAGATTTTGTTTTTAAGCTGTTAGTGGACTGATGGATGTCGGGCTATATAAATGTCAACTTTTTTCCTGTTGGACTAATAGAAGCTCCGCCAATGATCGTTAGAAGAGAATCGAGGAGCCTAATTCTTATAGTACATCTGTTGCTAGTTTAAAAGCATTAAATATGCATTAAATTTTTCTTTACTTTGAACCCCGAAATGCCGTTCTTATATAGATGGACGTCAATTTCGACCTCACATCATCGTCTAATCCGCACACCTGGAAATATTCGAATATCAATAAGCCAACACAGCTCTACACATTAAATTAAATGACAGGCCTTACGTTCAAGGCAAAGTAAGATTCACTCATTTCACATAATTTTGTGCGCATTGCGTTCTCTGGCCTATATTCTTGGAAGTTTCGTAAAAATAGTCTCTCTTTCTTCGTTTCATAAACAGCTTTTTGATACTACCAGTAGATTTGATTTAAGATCTGGGTTCACGTTATTCTGTTGAAGGTGGTGAAGGACTGGTAGTTGAATTTTCCCACAATTATAAGAGTAGACCTCACGTTTATATCGAATTTCAAATAGCTTTACTTCTAAAAGGTTTGTTGTGTTCCTAATAAGAATGTGGACTGTCTCTAAAATATAAAACGCTTGCCCTCTACAACTCCAAAGTTGGAGGCCCACAAACGGAGAGAAAAGGAACAAATAGTATTACCAATTGACCAATTTTGGAATGGCCGAATACAGTATGGGGGAGCTGATAATTGAAAGACAATAATTGAAGGATGGCGCCAGATAGAATATTCTGAATCCTGTGGGCCACGGAAGAGGGAAGAAAAGAAGGAAAAGAACGTGACCGATTTAAACAGAATATTAATTATTAGATATACCTTGGCGTAGCCTCTCTTATCTTTCTTTTAACCCCAGACGTACCATAATCAGCAAACCTAGTAGTATGAGACCATTTTATTTCAGGTCCAGTTTCTACCATGTGTTCGGCCACTTCTGACCGTTGGATGCAGCTTCCTTTGCAAGCATTTTTGTGTTCTCCCAATCTTTGTCGAACAGGTCGGCATGTATCACCAACATAACATCGACCACATGAGCAAAGAATCTTGTAGCAGCCGGTTCTCGATAATGGGTCATATTTCTCTCTAAATGATGGCATAACAGAAGAAAGTGTGAGGGTTTCTTTGAACATTGTTTATATCCCCCTCTTTCTTACCAACTCGCCTATCTTTTTTGCAAGAAGGAATGATGGTAAAATTAGGACATAATAAAAGGTCTCAGTCTGTTTATCTTTGAATAAATGGTCTCCGTTTGAAAATGTATCCTTCAATAAAGAGTAATTATTCTCAATAAGGCTCAAAGGATAATTATTCTCCAAGAAGAAATGCGTCAGCCGTTGTAACTCTTGTCAAATGTTTGCTATCCGTCAGCCTCATACTTCTAATCATCATTGACTTCAAAATTCCAACCTTAATTTTGTAAATATGGTTGAAAAAACAATTAAGCAAAGAGCTATGAACATCTCTTCCTTACTTACCCTTTTCTCTAATGATGAAAACATCGAGAAAGGGTAAGGACATATTCTTTGCCATTTCGATTGTAAATCTAATGTTCCTTACAAGCTGGTTGCGTGATTGGAAGAACAGAAAAATGCTTGCAAAGGAAGCTGGGTCCAACGATCAGAAGTGAGCGAACATATGGTAGAAACTGGACATGAGATCGAATGGTTTCAAACTAGTAGGTTTGCGGATTATGGTACGCCTGTGGTTAGGAGCAAGATAAGAGTGGCTATTGAAATTACTAGATTAGGAATTACGTTGAACGTGAGGAACGGTGATGGAAAGTTGAGTAGAAACTATTTATAGAGGTTGCTTGACCTTGTCTTCGCAACTTGGTTATATTGGTAGGAAGACTTAGAGGAACGCACCTATTCCGGAGTTCATTGTATGCATAATCCTTTTCCGAGTCATAAAGTGGACGTGGTACATTGTCAGACGTTTCGCCGGCATCATAATCAGCATCATTACTAAGCTTTGCCATTCTTAGCACCACATTAAAACTCGTCAAAGAGACAAGTGAAACCGATCCTTTGACCAAACGTGTGCTAAACAGTTATGGTATCTCCTTTTCTGCGCTGGCCTATCCACATTTCCTATATCCTCCTATCACACCTTCACTGTCAAAATTGTTTACTTGCTTAATTAGATGTAGTACGGTGTGCCCTTTTGAGCGGCTTTCATGAGAACCCTCCGCACTCCGCGCTGGCCTTCTCACCGCTTTTCATCCTTGTGCTGAGAATGTTGATCAGAAGCTGCCATATTGTTACGCAGTTCTCCTTCCCTAGCTTTTACCACAGTCTTTCTCTTGCCCCCGTAAGATCCATCTGCCCTCTCCCTGGTTCACATATTTCACTCGACCCCTGCTACCCCATCTGTGCCAACTTGAGGCGTTATTGGCCCTACCC